TCGTTCACTTAGAGGGACTTGCCAGTATCCACTAGCTAAATCCAAGGAAGTGAACCATCGCTCGCCCAGCAGATTCTGCAGAGTGATATCTATAGGGGGTAAATGATAGTTATCCTTCTTAGTAACTTTACTGTCTTCCCTATAATCCACACATAGCCTTGTGACCATCTTTCTTGGCCACCAAGACTAGGACGACGCCCATGATGATTGGCTGTCCTCAATCACATTTTTTTTGGTCCCGTAGCATTGTATCTACCTCAGCACGAATACCGTGTGGGACGGGTCCGGTTTTCTGTCGAATTGGGGGATGCCTGCCTGCATCAATGTCATGAGTCACGAGATTCGTTTGCGTTAGTTCTGTGTCCGAGACAGCGAATACATCGTTGTACTCTTCGATCACTCTATGCAGTTCCTCAGGTACATCCCCGGCCTTTCGGTTCTCATTTAATATGTCTACTAAAGTATATGTCCCTTCAGCATCTTGTAACACTGCATGCTGCTGTAGAACCATCATGTCACTTGGGGCATCCACTATCCTCGGATCAATCCAAGTTTCTGCTGACCATGTACCCAGATCCTCTCCCTGATCTATCACCCACGATCCTAAACCTTGATTTATGACCGATAATTCGGCGTTATCTTGGTTCACCTGGCACACACCTGACTCGATGCGTGGGCTTTTAGACCAGAATACGCAAGCTCCATCACGGAAGCTTCCGTGTATCTGCACGGTTGCAGCCTTGCCTGGTGCTACAACGACCCTCCTCTCCGAATAGGCCATATTCGGAAGCAAATCCTTTGTCACATCCATGTCCTTATGCGGGGTTAATCGTAAGGAGATGCCAAGTTCGCTTAAGGCACTCGTACCTAATAGCAATGTGTCGTACTTATTTTGCTGCACGTGTAGGCTGCCTAATGTTGTGCCATTTCGCGCTCTGTTTGATCCGTCCCCCGGCCCGTTTTCCCTATGACTGCGGTTTCTGGGTTTTTCCCTTCTCCTACGATCCACTGGAGCATGTCCTGTCTTGCCACAATGATAGCATTTGGAAGTAGGCTTTGCAAGTGAACGGGTCCCCGTTGGGTCATCAGTGCCATTTGGTGCGGTTAATCTCGGGATTCGATCGGTTGCCGTTCCGCATTTCCCTTCTGGAAACCTCGGAACCTGCTGAAATAGGGAATTTCATCAGCCTGCAGTTTTTACAGCCGCATGGCCACTCGCTTAACCTCTGTGTAAAAAACATCAGAGGCATCCAGGGCAGCTAACACATGAAACGAGTTATGCCAATGTTGCAAACAGGAGCGCAGTTTGGATCCCCT